ATTTGGGGGAATTTAGGAAACCCTGACTCGTTTGCCTAAGGCCACGTGTCCGTCATCACCAAAGTTGTCTCGGCTCGGGAACTTGGGTACGATTGGGGAAGGTCACTTCGTGAGCACCCCCGCTCGCCCGATCAAAGATCGGCCTCTACTAACCATGATATCTATTTTTGAAAACATTATGCGTTCTTATTCCGGTTATTAGCCTAGATTTACTATGTGATGCGCACAGCATACAAGTATAGACTGGATCGCCTGGATTGGAACAAAAACATTTCATGTTTGTTTATTTGAAAATGGTTTAATGGTGCTACTCGCAAGTAGGCTAAGACGTGGATTTGCCACCCTCGGGTGGGCTTAGAAAGATGGTTTTGCCACTATCTAGTGGGCTTAAAACACACATTTGATGAATTGTTCCAATTCAGATAACCCAACCTTCACCCACAGGCATTCAGGCAGTTTATATATCACATAAGCACATAGCCTTGGTAAGCATGCTATTCATGGCAGTCACTCACACGCATGCAAGGATGCTAAAGCATAAAACTTACCGAGTACTCCCAAGCCAAAAAAGAAGCTCATTAGAAATCCATGCATGATCCTAATTATACAGAAATGCCTAATGCAACACATGCAAAAATGCAACTATAGCAGGCTCGGCTATTCTAAACATGGCATATGAAATGCAACAGCTAACAAGTACTAACTTGGAAATTGAAATACAATGCAGTTTAGTATGATGCGCCGAGCCTGGTGCATGCAAAACAGATGAATGATGCAAACATGTTGTCATACTGTATGCTAGTTGAAACATGCCCTAATCTAACCATCATAAGCAGGTAAATAAAGGGAAGAAAGACGTGGGGTTGGAAGACATACATCACATCACCACACTTATTACAGTTGTGTCCTTGCGCAGAGGGTCCGAATAAATATACAGTCCAAATAATACAGTCCAAATATATACAAATTCCTAATTAATTTACAAATTAACTAAGAAAAGCTGTAAACTGGCATGCAAGTCAGGAACTGCCTTGACTCCGCCCCGGATGATAGATGATGCATGTCTGGGCTGCCTTGCGCGGAAATCCACTGGGATGCCCCAATTAGCCTCTGTTTGCAATTTATTCTTGGAAAGCATGCCAAGCCCCGGAAGACTGTTGATTCTTGATTTGCTGCAACAGAGAGCAGGAAAAAGGGCATAGCAATGTATTTTCACAAATGTATGCATACCTCGATCCTCGTGCCACCAATCCGGCATCTCGATGCATGATGGCCGAGGAGTCGATTTGTGCAACTCAATATAGAATGAATGCACATGAAAACAAAACTAAAACTTAACTCCATCATGGATAATCCGGAGTGTCGGCGACTGAGGAATTGAGACACGATTCCGTCACTCGGAGTGCGGAAACGTACCTCGTTTCCCATCCGCGGCTAACCCCTATCCCAAGCACGATGCAATATGCATTTGATATGCACGAAATGCAACTAAGATAACAACCTTAGCATACGCAATGCTATGAAATGGCATACACGATGCACGAGGTAACATGGCTACACAATGCGCTAACATGCAACCTAGCATACACAATGCTATGAAATGAAATGGGATACACAATGCACAATGGACTTACACAACACGAGTGGACCTCAGCCACACTCACACAGAAGGCCATTAGATGAAAACAAGACAACTCGAAATGCGTGCACGCGTGCACGCAAACGAGGACCGACCCTCAGGCACCCGAAATGCCACTCTAATGAGACATGGCAAAGACATGGAATATGATATGCAAACATTGCAAAAATCAGTAGCAAAATGAGGGTCAAAACAGCCCCGAAACAAGGCGAAATGACACCCGATGTATGGAATTTCTCCCGAATGCAAAACTAGGTACATGAAATGGCTTACAGCTATACAAATGCATGCATAATTGGTACATGGAATGAAAATACAGACAGCAAGGTAGCCCCAAAAATAAGCATTTTTACAGTTCAAAGCATGGCCAAACAGTAAGCACAAGTGGGACTAAATTATCAACAAAAATGGCTCCGCAAGAGGGCATGAAGCAAGTGGTAGATGAAAAGCCCAAACAGAAAAAGACTCTTCTACAACACTAAAGGGACCAAAAATATGACTACTTACGTTTATGGAAACCCCCAAAACAATATAACAAGTATGCTCAAAATGCCATGCAAGGTAGGGCCCAAAAGAGGTCAAAACACAAAGTATACAAAACATTCATCAAACAGCAAAGACCCTTAATGAAACATGACAAGGGGGTCAAAATATGG